TAAAGCAAATATACTCTAAGCTTTCTATGTATGGAATCACATAAATCTTTGAAATAAGATAAATGCCGGACGAGGCTGAAAATTTAGACCATTGACTGCAATCCTCTTCACTGATTAATCTTTAGGGTTGCAAGGCTCTCTTCATTTGTGAGTAGCACAGTCGATCACGATCAAGGTTTGCCGAACAAAAGAGATCCATCCAAAGCCCCCAAAGTACCAATTCACTACGGTAATTCAACTCCAACCGACCTAATAAAGATGCATCTTCTGTCTCTCTTTTTGCAAAGCAAAGTTCATTAAGAAATAATCATCCTTTCTATACTTGTTCAGTTTCTGAGCAAGCCTATAGTATTTTGGTCTCATGTCTCTACTCTTTTTTTTTTTTGACTAGTGAAAAAGTAAGAGAAGGGAAAATAGTTATAATATTACTGCATTGGCAGCTTAAACACTTGACAAAAAAGTCAAAGGCATTGGTGCACTGCCATCACGGCTGAGACCGCAAGTGCGTCTCATGTCCCTACTTTATCATAATATGGTATGAAGTGCTAATTTGACTTTTTGAGAAAAAAATTTAGCTGAGAATTTAATTTGGAAAAATGACAAATCAAGTGGTTTTGACATTTATAATATCAAGTTATCTAATAACAATCATAAATAATAAATAATTTTTTTAAAAGTCAAACTACTAAGCAAGAAGTACAGATAAGAAAAAGAAAATTTTCAACTAACATTAATTCGTAATTAGCATTCATTCGTCACATACGTTAAATGTTCACATAGAAATCTTGTTTTGAATGTCAAAAAGTCGAATTAAAATCATTATTTTGACCAACTTCTAAAAGAGAGCAAGGATTTCAACATACAAATTTCTTAGGTATTTTATCCAAGAGTTTGTTTTTGTCACGTCGTCTTCCATCATAATCCATATGTCAGTACAGCACAATCGATCACAATCAAGGTTTGCCAAACAAGAGATAGATCCAAAACCCCCAAGTCCCAACTCATTATGGCAATTCAACTGCAACCGGCCTAATAAAGACGCATCTTCTGTCTTTCCCTCTTTTTGCAAACCAAAGTTTATCAAGAAAAAATCTTCTTTTCTATACATATTCAGTTTTTGAGCAGGCGTATTTGGTCGTGTCTCTACTTATCATAATATATGGTATGAAGTTTTAATTTGACTTTTTGAGATACAAATTTTAGGTGAAAATTTAATAGAAAACAAAAAGTCAAGACTGTCTAACAAAATCAAGACCATCCATGTGATCCCCACGTGAACCCCAACGTAAGCACCACATGATTGATGATCCTAATCTTACCAACACTGTCAAGCAAACCTAACTTTTTGCAACCCAAAATTTAATGAGAAAAAAAAAATCAAGAGGTTCTATCATTTCAAACTTCAAGTCATCTAATTACAGCCATAAATGACAAATAAATATTTTTTTTAAGTCAAACTCGTGAGCAAGAATTATATACAAGAAAAAGCAAATTTTCAACTAACATTAATTCGTTATTAGCATTCATTCGTCACGTACATTAAATTTTCACATAGAAATCTTGTTTAGAATGTCAAAAAGTCGAACTAAATTCATTATTTTGACCAGCATCTAGGAGCGAGCAAGGATTTCAACATACAATAGTTTCCTCCCCATTGTAAGCTGTCCTGTCATTTCAAAGAGAATTATCCACCCAATCCAATCTCTTGATTTCTCTTTTTCCTCCTCTTATGAGCTCATATAATGTTCTTAGATCCAGCCCTCTTCAATGGTGAACTTGGGACATAATCATTGAAAGAATCCTCCCAACATATGCAGACACATTATCACTTTGAGCTTTTGCTTCTTGCAATAATTTCTTTGATTAAAGACTTCCCTTTAGTTGCTACAGATGCCCATTATCCATGAATCCGCCAGCCACACGTTTAAAGACACCCGCTTTTCACTGCTACAAACTTGCGACACTTTTTTTTAATCAATAGAAGAGATCAAAGAACAGCAAATCAACCTAGAGTTGGCACCACCACTAATCATAAGGGTTGCCACATGCACTAGATTTTCTTTTTGATAGAAGAGAAGATGAATTGAAAAGCAAAAGCAAAGAGAGAAACCAAATTAAAAGGATAGATTATGGAAGGATGAATTGAAAAGAAAAATAACATCTCTCATAAAGAGAGAGAAATTCAGAGAAATCCTGAAGGAAGAAACAACCCTAGAGAGTGGCATAGGAAAGGAAAAGTTATGTACTCCAAATTTTAGACATGGTTAACATAAAGGATTGCAATGAAATAAGAATGAATGTGTTTAACTATAAAATTCTAAAATATTGTTCCTACAATTACCCCTTTATCCAATATTGAAAATCTACAGTAATAAACCCACCAACAAAAACAAGTGTTCATATATTTCAATGAAAGACCAAAAAAATATTATCAATTTTGTATTAACAAATGCAGCTATACTTATAGTTTTTGGGTGCGAATTTGTAATATTTAAACAATTATAAAATTGAAGAGTGATGTAGTGCAGTCTGCCATACTTTTAAACATTGATGGAGGAATGGGTTCCAGATATCAGGGGTCAGCACCCCTCTATCAATGGTTATAAGAAGAGCAGTCTGCACAGGGCGGACTGCACTCAGTTTTCTGAAAATTGAAACCACTTCTCAGTTTTTAACTGCTTGATTTTCTCTTCTAAGGTAGCTTATGAAAACATAGTGGGTTAATGTGCTGCAAAAGATGATGACTCTAATACAAAAAATAAAAAAGAGAGAGAGAGAAAAGAAAGACGTTGAAAATAGATAAATGGTTTCTTGCCTACCAAATGTAGTTAATGTCGTTTCCTAATTTTTATTTTTCTCTTATGATAACATGTTATATTACCTCTTTCTGTAACTGTGTGTCATTCTGAATTGGTAAAATATTTTTCTTTTCCAATGTGCCCATAGAAAACAGCAACTTAAAATGAAAATCACAGTGTATAGGAATTCAAAGGAAAAGAATAAATGAAAGATATGTAGTTCTGCATGCCCTATGGTGCCAAGTACAAGTTGTAGAACTAGTTTTACTTTCTAGCCATGTCATCTGGGAGGTTTCAAGGGGGTTCTAATGTTGGACTGTTAAGAGGAAGATTAGTAGAAGAATCAAGGAATAGGAGTGACCAATTGCCGATCAAACTCCTGGCTATGCCTATTCACTACAAGTTGGGCTCAACACACAAGATGTCACAAATTTCACTTGGCCTATTTGAAGAACATAGATATCACTTTCAACAAAAGCATTAGACAGATGCCTGCCTACCCTATTCACCCTCCAATATCATGCAAATGTTTGTCAATTTATCATCTACATGACCATGTAATGAATAACCTTGCAATACAAAGAAAGCTCCTCCCTTAAACCACTCTTGCAAGCCTAAGCCACCTATAACACACCCTTCCATCATACACTTCACTCCTTTATCCCTCTTGTAACACATGGAAGCACACCAAATAAATCTAAAGTCTAAACAAAAGACCATAGAATATTTGTGATGAATGGGTTTTTAATGTATTTAGGGAATGTTATGGAATTATTATTATTCTAAGTGTGTTTTCCTAGTTTTAGATTAGGATTAGATCTTATTAAGAGTACTTTAAGGGTCAACATAGGAGTCTTTGGGTGTTTTATATGAGGATTAAATCTTTTCAACAAGACTTTTCTCTTGAGATTGTGAGAAGCAATCTTGATTGTGTGATTTAGGTGTGATGCCTAAAGGTTAAAACCCCAATTTGGTCCCTCTACTTTGGCAAAAAGCTCCATTTTAGTCCCCTACTTAAAAAACCCACTTTTTGGTCCTAAAGTTTGAAATCTGACCCCTTTCCTAAAGTTTGAAATCTGACCCCTTTCCTAAAGTTTGAAATCTGACCCCTTTTTAGTCCCTTTGTTAAGTTTTTGTCTTGTGACATGTTATCTTAACAAAAATCCCAAAATTGAGCGACTAAAAAGGGGCCTTTTTTTTTTTAAAGTAGAGGGACCAAAAAGGAGCTATTCCCTTTACTTTGAAATTTCTGTCATCTAACGTGCCACGTGAACCAAATTTAACGGAGGGAGTGGATTTCAGACTTTAGGGACTAAAAAGGGGTTTTTTTAAGTAGAGGGACTAAAAAGGGGCTTTTTACCAAAGTAGAGAGATCAAAAAGGGATTTTAACCATGCCTAAAATATCCTAGGAAGATTACATTATGGAGACACATTAACCTAATAGGCTATTCTTTGGGGTTCAACATGGTGTCTAAAGCATAATGTATTGTGCCTTATTTGAGAGCTCTAACTATGACAAGAAAACAAGAAATATTCAAAATAAAATACCAATCAAATGGATATTAGAATTACAAATATTGCAAATTGTTTTTCCTTTGTAATGTAATTTAGGAATTCACTTGCAAATTTTAGGACTTCTACCATTACAAAATTAAATCTAGCTCTAGTGTATGCATATCTCTCTAATCTTTCTAGGGTTTTTGCAATGACTACTCCACCTACAAAGTCAAAAGGTGCAGACTTAGCTGATAACTACCAGAAGAAGACTCATAAACTTGAAACCATTATGAATTCAAAGATATATACATGAATCAGTGAATTTCCTTCTGAAATATTGATTCTCTAATACATACGATTCACTAATATATGCATATACCTTTAAATTCATAATGGTCTCAAGTTCATTCAGTAGCTATCAGCTAAGTTTGCCCATTTAAAACTTTATGGGTGAAGTAGTCATTCTAAAAATCTTAGGTAGATCAAGATTCACTAGATTTAATAGAGTAGAAGTCTAGCAATTGTGATTAGATTCCTAAATTTGCATTAAAAAGGTAGCATCTGCATTATTTGTAATTCCAATATTTAGCTGATTGATGATTTAATTGCAATATTCTTTGTTTCTTTCCAAGATTGAAATTTCATAGTGACAATTAATGATTCAGCAATGGGTTAAAAGGAACACAAAAACCACAAAATTCCAAAAATATGGCATCAATGACCTTAGTTAACAACGCTGTGATGAAAAAAATTTTTATGAGGGACAAGTGTATAGTGGGTTTAAGGGCTATTTTAGGCCAAAATTAGAGTTGTGAACAAGGTGCCTGAACAATGAAACAAGAGATTAAATGACTGATATATGGATGAAAGGGTTGGAAAACATAAAATAAAAGAAAGATGAAAACCATAGTACTCACAACTAGGTTTAGGCATCAAACCCAACAGGTCTAATTCCTTAAGCATCACACAATCTCAAAGCATTACAGGTGGAAAAATTTTTTTTTTTTTTATCATTATATTGACCAGACTCCATGTTCCTATTTGCCAAATATCATAGTAAAAGAAAAATCTTTGCTGCAAAAAAAGAACAGAAAGCCTTCTTTTGTCTTTCCCATCAGAAGTTTTAAGTCAATTATCTTTCCACACCACTTGTACTGCCACAATAACAAGCAAAGTTGCCACATACTATGGTTTTTTTTTTTTTTTTTTTTTTTTTAAGCCTTTACTCCAACTTCAGCAAAGCAGCATACTTCAACTTCACCATTAAATTCTAATGTAGACAAAAAATTTAATGACATAATTGACAGAAAAAACCCAAAAAAAAAAACGCTCAGATTCCTTATGATTGTCAGATGGTCTAGAAACTGAGGTATTCTATTCTTCATTTACATTCCCAAAAACTCACACAAGGAATGAACTAACTAGATA